CTTGTTCTGTGGAGAAGTTAACTCAGTGTTTGGATGTTAAAGATTCAATCTTTTTGGATGTTGACCAATATTCCAGGGTTTGTCTTCTGGTGAAAAGGGTAGATTTCCTGTGAAGTGTCAACTAAGGCACAGTCTCAATTGTAGGCGGTTTGATGTTAAAGATTGGAACCTGTACGTTCTTGTTTTTGTTTTATTTTTAATATCGATGAGGAAAAAGGAGTGGAATAAGAACTCTTTAACAAACACGTATTCATTTGGAAGTCGTTAAGGGACAATTATATCATGATCAACTAAAATTGTGCAATAGTGTGTATACGCAGTTTGATGTAATAAATTATAACGGAATATCTAAGTCAAATTTCAAAATGCTTGGTGGAAAAATAGAATTAAACCTAAAGGAACAATCAAAAGATTTCTTTTTGGATAAGAATTTTGACTGAAGTGAACGACTTAGCGAGTGATTTATTTTTCAATTATATCTTAAGGCACATGGTCTTATGTTAAAAACTTACATGTGTCAACTAGATATTTTTGCACGCCTTGTAAGTTTGATTGAATGAAAGTAGAAGGACCTTTAAGGAATTATGGGCATGAGTTCTCTTCAGCCACTTCGTATTTCATATGGTTATTGATTAGGATACACTTCAATACTGTTATAAATAGCGGTAAATAGTCCCGTAATAGCGGCGCTAATAGCGTTAGCGGTTCCTTCCCGCTACGCTATCGCCCAATAGCGGTGATATATTGCAGAATATGCGTTTTTCGTTCGCAAAAGCGGCCAATAGTATGCCATAATGATGGGTTCTAGCAATCTAGCAATCTAGTTTCTCTTCCCCCTACGAATTGCAGGTCCAAGGGCTGGAAAGTGGACCTAAGCTTTTGAGGCCTTGTTTGGTATTTGGAGTGGATTCAAGTTCCTTTCAAACAAAAGCATAAATCGTGAGAAAGAGTAGAAGTATGAAAGAAACTTGATTGTTAGTACGATACCGTATGATTGCTTAATGCCAAGACTTTTAGAAGTATGTGGTGGGGGGGTGGGGGGGCTGGCTGTTGCAATTTGCAGCATTCTTCATACGATGGCCAAATCAAAAACTTTTTTTTAAAGCACTGCGTCTGCAACAGTCTTGTACTCCAGTCAATCGGAAAATGTAAATAACGCATCGCGATTCACCAACAAATTTGAAACTAAAATAAATTCCATAATGAATTAGGATGTGATTGGAAATGAGAAGCAAAAAAGTTACAATTCATTCTGATATGTGCTCATAACAAAATGATCATTTTCAATTTTGGTCATGTTTTTCTACTACTAAATAAAGTAATTTGGTTATTTTTCCTATATGACATAAATATCAAATTCACGTCAAATGGTGATATTAGTTTTCGTAATACTGCAAGTGAAAGAAAAAAAACTATATCTGAGAATATGGTGCTAATAAAATACCAATCTAATAATTTAGCGCTTTCAAAATCACCACAATAAAACCCAAGAGTGTCTAGCCGAGTTAGTAAGCTAACTATGAGCATTATTTTAATGTCTTAACTTTGACTTTTCTAGAGAGCACCCACGTGAATTTAATTTCGTGAAATACATGAGGTCGTGTGTTGGGGGTGCCCCTTAGGCCCCGTTTGGTTGCATAATAACAAGGCTGAAAGCCTGACAAAAGCTTCAGGCTTTTGTCAGGCTTTCAGCCTTTCTGTTTTGCAACCAAACGGGGCCTTAGTGACACCCAATGATTGTGAGGAAGTTCCCTCCAAAAAAAGAAAAAATGGCCACAATTAGAAATTGAGAAGATAGGCTAAAGATTACCTTAAGTCTTACCCATTTTTTCTAAAAAGCTCTTAGCTTTTACCCATTCCTTCTAATAAGCCCTCAACTTTTTTTTTTAAACAACTAAACCCTTGAGCTTTACCACTTTGTTCTAAGAAGCACCCAACTTTCTTTTTCTGCTAACGAAACCTCCAGGCTAACAAGAAGAATTGGGAGGGGTAAAAATCACGGGCCTATTGGTCAAAAAAAGAAAGTTGAGGGCTTCTTAGAAGAGTGGAGTAAAACTTACGAGCTTCTTTTTCAAAAACAGAAACTCGAGGGCTTATTAAAAAAGAGGGATAAGCCTTTGGGGCTCTTCAGACTATCCTCTCACGAGGAATTTGCATTTCAGCACCCGAACTCTAATTGGGTAGGTCAGGAATTTGGCCGAAACCCGTTAACCCGTTTTTTTTTTTTTTGAGAAAAAGGATGGAATACCCCAAAAGTATTCCAGCCAGCTAAATTAAAAGATAAAGTGGTTGTTACAAAAAAAAGTTCATACTCCCAACCAAGAGTATGTACTAAAGTTCAAAAGAAAATACTACAAGTAGTAGTACCCCATTCCCTGTATACAACTGGAAAAAAACGGACATAACGTCCCCCAAATACCTGATATAACAAGTTTGTCAAAAGAAACCAAAAAACAAAACAGAAGAACAAAGTTTCTTTCAAGCAAAACCAAGAGCATATCCAGTGAATATAAAAGGATCATCCCAATTGAATCACTGTAGCCGCACCATCTTTGTTCCCAAAATCACCAGCCTTGGCAGTATTGAAACCAGCAGCTCTTTTTCTTCTTCTTTCTTGTAATCTGGCAGCTCGAGCAGAGATCCCCTCGGATCCTAGCCAAAATGTTGAAAAAGTCACAATTTTGTTCAAGAGGGCAAGAGAACTCTTCTGCTTATTAGAAAACAATCTGTCATTGCGCTCCTGCCAGACACACCATATAAGAGAGCAAATGAAAACTCTTCTCTTCATATTAGAATCTCCCTTGTATCCACTAGACCACTGTATCCAAACTTCAAACCCGTTAACCCGTTAACTGCCCTAATCTCGGCAGACCCTCGCATTCCCCTCTCCCGCATAGGGGTGGAAGTGAACCAAACATTTAATAAACAGTTTGGCTAATATTCGTCCAGATATTCGATCATATTCGATCCGATAGTTCATTTAATACTAAATGAATATTTTTCAGTATTCGACTTAGAAACGAATAGAATTTAACTAAATGTATATTCAATTCGGCTGATTATTAACAATTCAATAACTTTTTATATGTAAATCCTATTAATTAAACTTATTGTAAATATTACCCGTCAAAATTTTTATTACAACTTCTACCCATATATAAATAGACATGTTCAAATGACCTAGGGTTTCACATGTCCTTTGGATCATCAATGAACGGTTCAGATTTATTCCCAACAACTCCAAATGACCTAGGGTTTCACATGTCCTTTGGATCATCAATGAACGGTTCAGATTTATTCCCAACAACTCATGGCCCAATATAAGTAGCTTTAACTAGGGGTGAGCACGGTTCGGTTCAAACCGAAAAAACCGACCGAACCGACCCGAACCGACCCGAAAAAAGCGGTTTTATGAGTAAGGCGGGGCGGGGGGGGGGGGGACAACTTTAAACCGACCCGAACCGAACCAACCGAATATATTTGTGCCTTTGATTTGTGGGTTTATTGCTGTGTTCGATCACCATGAATAGCAGTTGCAGGGAATTGATTCATACATAACCAATGTTCTAATGAGTCAGCTCCTTTTTTGTCTCCACAAAGACCAAAGTCAAAGCTTGCTACACAAAGACAAAGCAAGTCCGTTACTAAAAAATTACAACGTCAGAGTCTAGTATTTAATCCAAAAGGATAAGTTACTTTACTTAAAAACAATATACATACATGAGCAAGAAAGTGAAGTTAAAAAATAAATACATGCTGGCATAGGGTAATAAGAATATATAAAAGATAAATTGAAGTGAAGTTATACTTGATAAAGTTAGAACCGAACAAACCGAACCGAACCGCACCGAACCGATTTGTAATGGTTCGGTTCGGTTTTGAATTGTAGGTGGTTCGGTTCGGTTGTTCAAATTTTGGTAAAAACCGACCCGAACCGAACCGTGCTCACCCCTAGCTTTAACTCCCCAAGTGACCCATCTCATAAACCCTAGATCTGATCTGAGGCAGCCGAAGTCCCCATCTCTCGACGACGACGCTCAAGTCCCCATCTCATAAACCGTAGATCTGAGGCAGCCGAACTCCCAAGTCCTCCCTAACCGCGACGACGCTCACCTCCCGCTCCGACGACGCCCTCCCTACCCGCGACGACGCCCTCTCCAACGACCTGTGATCCTTCCTCTTCGACGCCCTCCTCCCCGTGACGACCTCCTCCCTCTCCAACGACGCCCTCGTCCCTCCCCGGGACGACGTCCTCCTCCCTCTCCGACGACGCCCTCGTCCCTCTCCGCGACAACGCCCACTTCCCTCGATCTCTGTAGATCTTGGAGATTTGTGCCGTGATTCTCTCCTTTTTCTCACTGGAAAGGTAAAAAAAACTTTTGGAAAAACTATTTCCAGCTAATTATTTCCCCGTTTATTCCCTGCTTCCCTCGATCTCTTATTTCCCTGTTTATTTTCACGATTAAATAGTGTTAATTGAATGTTCGCGAATAGTTACCGAACACGAGCACAACTAAACGAAGCGAGTTCGAAGTCTAAACAGTATTCGAGTCGAATTCGAACACGAACACGAATAGTACTAATTAAGCCGAATTCGAATTCGAATAAGGCACTGTTTGTTCAAATTCGCTTCGTTTCCACCCCTACTCCTGCATACTAAAACCCTGAAACTCTCAAAACACTCTCAAATCCACTCCCTCCAACTTCTCCTCCTCTCCAAACCCTAACCCTAGAATAAAAAGCGGCCGATAGCGGGGCTATAGCGGCGCTTTTCGCGGTCGCGGCCCCTCAGCGCTACGCGGAGGGGTGTCGCGATCGGATTAAGCGGGGAAAACCGCTTTGCATTCGAAAAGCGCGTAAAAGCGCTCAAAAGCGGGAAAAAAGCGGGCAAAAACGCAAAAATCCGCTAAACCCGCTAAACCCATATTTGATTTTTTCGCGCTGAACCCGACCCGAACCCAAACCCGGTTACCCGACTTGTTAAAACCAGATACAAGGCGATTTTTTCTGTCCCACTCCCGAACCCTAGCCGCCTGCGGATCTTCTCCGTTCCAGCCACGACGATTTTTTCTCCGTTCCAGCCTGCGGATCTTCTTCGTCCTCGGAGCTCCACAGCAACGCAACCCTAATTCCTCAGAGCTCCTTCTCCCGTTGCTGCTGTTGCTGACGGTGATCCCCCGTTCCAGCCACGACGATTTTTTCACCCACTCCCGAACCCCTTTTTTCCGTTCCAGCGTTTCCAGCGACTTCCGAAATCTGAGTCCAGCCAGCGACTTCCGCTCCCAGCGACGAGACGACTTCCGAACTCCGAGTCTCCAACAAGCTTCCCTCAAGTCTCCAACAGCTCAAGCTCCCAGCGTCTTCTCCATCTCTGTTGGCTAGATCTGCAGCAGAGGAAAAGGTAAAATAGCTTCCCTGTCTTCTCTTTCATTTTAAACCTTCTCAATGTTCTCATAGTTTTCCTGTCTAAGCTGTCTTCACTTCATTTTAATTTTTAATTGTTGCTATATGAGATAGTTTCTAGAAAGAAGAGGTTTCATTTTCTGTTTTTTCTCTTCTGAATTTGCTCGGATGTCACAGACAAAGTGTGTTATAATTTTTAAATAAGTTGACGATAAGCTTGTTCTGTCTGTTTTCTTGATGGGAAGAGGAAGTTTGTCTGTTTAGAATATAAATAAGTTCTTAGCTATCTAGTATTTCACCTAAACAGTTGAGCATGTAAATCCATTTAATTTAATTTGAAGTGGGTCAAGGCTTTTGATTTGTGTTAGGCTGTTGATTCTTGCTGAAGTGCATAATTTGTCTGTGATGGGCATGTTGTATTCTTTCCCTTGCTATAAAGCAAATATAGATATAGATTATAAACCTTCATGCATTAGAAGTTAGCACTTGACCGAACTTTGTAAATAAATATTACTAATTCTTGGAGAACACCAACCTGGACACGCCATTAGCCTATGACATGTAAATGCCCTGTAACTGTACATAACCAAAACAGAGTAGTCAATAGGAGCTATAATTCTTGTCATACAACAAGCTTATCAATTATTTACTGATAATTGATAATACAAGAAATTTACAAGTTACAACTAATTAATATGTATGCGATAAACGGCTTGATCTTCAATTCTTCATTCATAATCAGCAGCTGCACCGAAATGATTAGTGCCCTTGATATTTCCAACTTCCAGAAAACCTGTATAATCAACATTTGAAATCAATCAAATCATTATAAATTTATAACTCTTTGAGTTATTGAATGAATGAAGAAATGGGACAAATAACGGTCTTTTGGATAAACAGGTACATTTTTACTAACTTTCTAGTAGTTAATATAATGATGATATTACTAACTTACTAATCATGCTTTTTTTGTTGAGTATTTTCATATTAGAGACTTGAAAGTTGAAGAAATGGGACAAATAACAGTCTTTTGGATAAACAGGTACATTTTTTCATTCTTTAATCTTTATAATTATAGTACTTTGTTAATATTATGTAATTATTACACATCTATTTCATGTTTAGGCATTAAGTATGCATTTATAGAATTTTTAGATTTTTTATGAATTTTCTTATTATTGAGGATATTTAAATATATTTAAAATTGTCCGCTATTTGACTGTGCGCTATTTGCCGCTATTTCGCCGCAATAGCGCGCAATAGCCTTAGCGGTACCTCGCCGCGCCGCGACGCGATCCGCTATCAATAACCTTGCCCTAGATCTCACCCAGCGCGATGGCGGCGATGCTCCAGCCTCAGATCATACTTCTAAAGGAAGGCACCGACACGTCGCAGGGCAAAGCGCAAGTAGTGAGCAACATCAACGCCTGCACCGCCGTCGCCGACACCGTCCGTACAACTCTCGGCCCGAGGGGAATGGACAAGCTCATCCACGACGACAAGGGCAACACCACGATCTCCAACGATGGGGCTACGATCATGAAGCTGCTCGACATCGTTCACCCTGCTGCCAAGATCCTTGTCGATATCGCCAAGTCTCAGGACTCCGAGGTAACGGAATTAGTTTTAGTTAATTCTATGGCTTTTGAGTTTTTTTACTTTCTAGTTGGTTAGACCCTCGATGAAGATCTACAGGGAAATGAGGACGAAGGTTGTTTTCTTGTTCTGTGGAGAAGTTAACTCTGTGTTTGGATGTTAAAGATTCAATCTTTTTGGATGTTAAAGATTCAATCTTTCACAATCAAAAGATTTCTTTTTGGATAATTTCAAAATGCTTGGTGGCAGCATTATATCTACAATTTAAGCATTGCACAATTTTTGTCACATCTAATTTTGTGTATTATTTGTGAAAGATAATCTGTAGTCTTATGTTCTGGCTTGTTGCAGGTTGGTGATGGTACCACTACAGTCGTGCTGCTTGCAGGTGAATTCTTGAAAGAGGCAAACCCTTTCATTGAGGATGGTGTCCATCCTCAAAATCTTATTAGAAGCTACCGAGCTGCAGGCAACTTGGTGAGTGTATTAGTGACTGTCTGCATGATATACTGTAGTTTATTGTTCGCTGAACTGAATATTATACCATGTATTACAGGCCATTAGCAAAGTTAAAGAGCTCTCTGTAAGCATAGAAGGGAAGAGCCTTGAGGAAAAGAAGTCCTTATTGGCAAAATGTGCTGCTACAACACTATCATCAAAATTAATAGGAGGCGAAAAAGAATTTTTTGCTGAAATGGTTGTGGACGCTGTCCTTGCTATTGTAAATGATGATAGATTAAATTTACTTGGAATAAAAAAGGTTATTCTCATCAATCCTTACACGCGTATATTTGCTTTTTCGCATATGATTTGGTGCTCATTAAGTTCATTTTAAATTTTAAATGACATTGATAACAACTGCAAGCGTGATAACATTAATTCTAAGTTTCTAACACCCATTAAGGCAGCTTTGTTAGCATCTAAACATATATTGATTGTTCTATTCTCAGAAGTTGGAACTTCATGCTTCAATTATGTTCAGTTTTCTAGCATTTGAAACCCAAAAGGTCTTAACTGATATTTGTTTTTTCTGGGGGTGGGTGGGTTTGTGCATTGGCGGGGTTATTGGTTATATGTGCGCGACATCTGAAGTACATTTTGAAAGCAATCGGTATTCTGAAGTGGATGTAAAATTTTGGGTACTGTAAGGTTTCATCATGCATATGGTTAATTACTCGTCTCTTTTTCCTATTGTGTATTTACTGTCGTTGATTAAAGCTTCTAGATGAAAAGATCGTTTTACTCGTCAATTCCAAGCGCATAACTTTTGAATCTGGAGCATTGGCATAAAATTTGGGAGGCTAATGTAGAATCTAATACTTCTTATTGCTTAGGTTTAGAATTTATTTTCTGAGTCAAGTCTTAAGGCAAACAACTCTTCATCTTTATTGCCATCTGTTTTATGACTATCATATCTTATTTCTTATTCTTTTGCTTTGGGGGTTGGGTGGGGGGGGGGGGCTTTGCACCCTAATGATGTGGAATTATTTAATTTCTACTGGATGGAATTTTAAAGGTATTGCTTGCAATGAGTTAGTGTGCAGTAAAGGTTTTTGAAGTTTAAATTACGGCTTCTGGTGCAGGTTCCAGGGGGTACTATGAGGGATTCATTTCTTGTTAATGGTGTTGCTTTCAAAAAGACATTCTCTTATGCTGGTTTTGAGCAGCAGCCAAAGAAGTTTCTGAATCCAAAAATCCTTCTGTTAAACATTGAATTAGAGTTGAAATCAGAGAAAGAAAATGCTGAAATCAGGTAAAATCAACTCCAATAAATGTGCTCTGTTAATATGTTTTTTCATCATGTTTTATGGTTCTCTTATAATCAATTTATAAGTCATTTGTAGACTATCAGATCCACTGCAGTATCAGTCAATAGTTGATGCTGAGTGGAATATCATCTACGACAAGTTAGATAAGTGTGTCAAGAGTGGAGCAAAAATCGTCCTCTCGCGATTGGCAATTGGCGACCTTGCAACTCAGGTACATACCTCAATTTTCTGTAAAACATAGCATGTTCAAACCGTAATATTTTGTATGGTCTTCAGTATTTTGCAGATCGAGATATATTCTGCGCTGGTCGTGTAACAGAAGAAGACCTGCAAAGGGTTTCTGCTGCTACAGGTGGTACTGTACAAACTTCTGTCAACAACATTATCAATGAGGTTTCCTTCATATCTCTCCTTGTACATTTGTGGTTTAGTGAGTGCAATCAGACAGATGAGTGAATTCTTTAATTTCAATCCATATAGCTATGCCCCCTTTTAAAAGAATTTTCTTCCTTTATGATTAACTTGTTAAAGGTTCTGGGGTCTTGTGATGTGTTTGAGGAGAAACAAGTTGGGAATGAGAGGTTCAACATATTTAGTGGCTGCCCTTCTGGTCGGACTGCAACAATAGTTCTCCGTGGTGGAGCAGACCAGGTTTGTCATTAAGAAAGACTCTCATCAGCTGAACGTTACTGTAGTTTATGCCTAGTAGTCATCATATTGTTTGATGTTTTGCTCTCTCCAGTTCATTGAAGAAGCTGAAAGGAGTCTGCATGATGCAATAATGATAGTCAGAAGAGCTCTCAAGAATTCCACTATTGTGGCTGGTGGCGGTGCTATTGATGTAGGCAATGGAAACCTGCTAAGATCTGTTTTAATTTGTATTCTTTAGTTCATACTCATTCTTTTTTATTTTTTTGAAAAAAATGATAGATGGAGGTTAGTCGATATTTACGACAACATGCACGAACCATAGCTGGAAAGTCACAACTGTTTATAAATTCATATGCCAAGGCCCTTGAGGTGAGAAGCCCGGCAATTATTTTTATGATCAGATAAATTGCTTATATTCTTAGTTATTGTTTAATGCTCGTTATTTTTGGATTTGCCTTGAGAGGTTAGAGGTGTAAATGTGGCTCATCACTTTTCAGTTTTATCCAAGAGTCAATGAACCTACTCTAATAGGGGGAAGTTAACAAATAAACTCCAATAGGGTCAGAGGAATTTTGTACCTCTGAGAACAGCTATAGTCGTGGGACCTTACTAAGTAGATAAATGCAGGTTTAACTACAGAATCTTTTGCTCCCTTTCATGGCCTTAAGGTAATGGATTAGAAATCTGCATCTTTGTGTTAGTTTGGGCTTTGGAAATTTAGTTGGATATCAAGCTTCAATCTTCATCTTCGTGCCTCTCCAGGAATTTTGTGGCTACAATCTAGGAATCTTCCCTTTAGGTGTTAAACCTTGAGATATTCTATGAGCCCTAGTTTTGCGACAACAACCATTAGCAAGTTCCTTTTAGGTCTCCTTGAACGAGTCTACATATCATGCTCCAACCTAGTCACATTTATTCACTTATCTCTTGTAATTATACAGTTATCGTGCATAAATATGGAAGGGTAGAAAGGTTGTTCCTGTGCCATAGTTGATTGAATATCATTATACTGTGCAGGTCATTCCAAGACAACTTTGTGATAATGCTGGCTTTGATGCAACTGATTTCTTGAATAAACTCAGACAGAAACATGCTTCTGGTGAGCATATTAATGTTATTATTTAACATTACAAGAAAATACTCATATAGAGACATTGAATTATCAAATATCTACAGGTGAAGGTGCAAATTTTGGCTTAGATATCAACACAGGTGGACTTGCAGATTCATTTTCTAACTTTGTTTGGGAACCTTCAGTTGTGAAGGTATTCTTATGCTCTTATTGACTGAGCTGTTGGTCTCTCTGTTTCACCCTACGTTAAGGCTTATGATTTCTTCTCTCGTCGGAGATAATACAATCTTAGATGTTACCTGCAGATTAATGCTATAAATGCTGCTACAGAAGCTGCTTGTCTTATTTTGAGTGTGGATGAAACAGTCAAGAATCCTAAGGTAGATTTATTATTCTTTTATCAACAATTTAATACTGCATATTATCTTTGTGATTTACTTCCATGTGCATGTTGGCTTTATAAATTTATACTCTGCCTCCGATATACTTCATCGCAACTCAGTTACCCTTGATTAAAGTAGTGCTTAGCTTCAATGTCTTCCATATGATGGTTTCCCTTCTCAACTCTACTGGAATTTACTTTAGTGGGTCGAAGAAGAATTGTATCAACAAACATAGTGATTGGTGCAACAACTAATTATCAGTCCTCGGTGAAATGTTTTGAATTTTGCTTGCTGAATAAAATGGTTTAAACCAGTGGGACCATTGAGTAATTTTCATTTTGGGGTTACAACCGAACTAAAGCTATTTGGAATTTGTGTGCTAATAGCTTGACATATAGATTTTCACTTATTGAAAAATATGGGTAGTTGGTACTCGCAAAGATCTGCCCTATCCTTGTAAGGCGCTTATTATGTGTCTGACCTACTGTACATTATGGCTTTTTAAAAACTTTGTTAGCATATTTAACTTGTACAAGGAGTTTCTCTCTTTAAATTTTCTGATTCTCTTCCATATGCCTCCTTTTGGCTGAACGTGTTTTCGTGTTGCATTCGTGTTGCCATTGGATTCTTTTCATTTTCTTAGAGTCCACTTCTCATCTAACTTGTTGGTAACAAAAGTTTCTCCAAGTGGAACCAATTATATTGTTAATATTAAAAGTTTCCTGCAAATGGAAGTGATAGCTACTATCTTTTACTGACCAATATATATTTTATCAGTCGGAGAGTGCACAAGGCGAGGCTGCTGCAAGTGCTATGGGTGGTCGGGGGCGTGGTGGTGGAGCCTTCCGAGGAGGTCGTGGTGGAAGAGGCATGAGGAGGCGGTGATTTCTTTTTAACCTTCGTCTGCTTAAGGAGTTAACTTTTGCCAGTTAATCGGGTTGAATGTTGTTCGTCATGATATTTTCACTGCGTCAAGTAAAATGTCTGTTTGTAGACCCAGTTCATGATGGGAAGTTCTCCACTTAATTTAAAAAGACTGAACCAATCACAATTTTGGATTTGGAATCTCCATTCCTTTGGGTGTTTCTGCTATTGTATTTTCCTTTGCTGAGGAGTAATTGGTTTGTATTGTCATTTGTCTCTTGCTTCTTATTACTACTAATAACTCCGGCTTCTTATACTACCTAGAAATGATACAAACCTTTGTGCGCGCGCGCGCGCACGCATGCTTGTTTGGTCATTTTATTTGAGCTTAGCAGAAATTTGAGTCAAACTTTTTGCCTTTTATCCTTTCCTTTTTCTTCCTACAGAAGTAGTTTTATGTAGTACTAGTTCATGTTTTAAACAGTGCTTTGACCCTTTTATCCTTGATGGGACCTTGGAAAAGACTTCAATTCACTAGTAGTCTATGTAGCTCAGCAAGTGGTGAGAAAAATAACCCTGACAATTAAAATAAAAAAGAAGAAGAAGAAGAAGAAGAAACTGAGCAAAGGAAACAATTTCAGACGTGGATCTTTTATGATCTCCAGTCGTCTCTTCAGCTGAAGTCAAAGGAAACATGTTTTCCTCAGCTTATTTCTTCTTCTTTATTAATCCAACTACAACTTAGTATACACTGAACTTCAAACTCAACTCAAAATCATTTCCAATAAGCTGGGTTAAGCCGTCAATTTCTGCCACGCCAAAACTCCCTCGCTTCTCGTAACTCAAACCCACCCCTTTCCCTCCCAATTCAACTCCATTCACATACAAGCTATGCATCTCTATACCTTCTTCAAACCCAAGCCCAAGCACCAGAACCTTCACTACCAACTTATGATCCAAAGCATATGTACCATTAACTAGCACTGACTTGATCTTCACATCTTTGCCTTCAACTTTCGCCGAAAACTTCATTGTACTCCATTCACTCTCCTTTCCTCCCATCTCCACAACCTCTCCATCATCTACAAACACCTCACCTTCAGCCATACCTTCATGTAGCACAACCAGAAGCTCGAACTCGTTATCTCTAGCTAATTGTGTAGTCATCGCCTCTTCCTGCATCGGTAATATATTACCTCCTCGTACATGAACATTTACACTATCTTCAGGCGCTTCTAGCGTAAAATATTCCCCAGAATCAGTAATCATTGTGCTTGAGTAATTGAAGAGATTGAACCAAATGCCTTTCGGGAAATAAGCAGTTACTGAATTTACTCCTGGACTTAGGACTGGAGATACCATTACTGCACCTCCGATCATAAACTGTGCGTTAATATCATAAGTTTGCGTGTCCTCGGGGTCTGAGAAGAAAAGCGGTCTGGCAATTGGAGTACCCTTAGTACACGCCTCGTACATTAGTGTGTAGAAGTAGGGGAGCAGGCGATAACGCAATCCTAGCGCCTTCTTTGCTGATCGAACGACCGAATCCCAAAGATAGAGCTCGTGTCTTATCGAACCTTTTGTCGCGTGATTTCGAGCAAAAGGGTAGAATGCACCAAGCTACATAACAAACCAAAATCATCAACTTTCTGTTGCTCCAATGTAACCTTTAGGTACAAGATTTATTGCAGATACACCTTATGTAATATAGCGGGTTAACAATTTATTATCTCTAACTTTTCCTATTAATGCTTAGAATGCTGACATCCAAACAGAGCTATCTTCATGTTAAATGTAACTGTACGATAAGAGGTGTATGTTCAACACCTATGAAAAAGAGTCTCTCTGCAACAAACTGAAATATTAGGGGATATTTCTGCGAAATGGATACAAATAACGGAAATGTAACTCTGCTTGGGCATTAGGGGCAATAAATGGCTAATCTGGTGATGCAAAGGAAATTATATGCAGTAAACTCATAAAATTTAACATCTGAGTTAAAGAAACTTACCTGAATCCACCTTCGGCAAAGCTCTTCAGTAGTATTACCTGAAAACCCACATATATCGGCTCCAACCATAGGAACTCCAAACAGACCAAAGTTTAAAATAGTCGGTATCGAGTACCCCAAATCATCCCATGTTGCTGCATTATCACCAGTCCAATGTGCAGCATACTTTCCCGAACCAACAAACGTGGACCTCGTAAGCACAAACGGGCGCTTGCCCTTAAGTTTAATCAAAGTATCATGAGTTGCTCTCGATTCCAAAAGCCCATGCAGGTTATGTACATTGTACTCAGTCAAGTTCCCATAGTGAATGCTCGATGCAGGGACTGTAAGATTGTTAATAGGCCGCTGAACTCCAGCGTTGTTGATTTTGTATGGAGGGTCGTCGAGGGAGTTGAGAGGAGAGGGAGTGATGAAGTTGGAGATCTCATTCATGTCGATCCAAAGGCCATCAATGGGAAGAGTTTTGTGAAAGATTTCGATTTCTTGGTCCCAGAAGTTTACAGCGTCAGGATTGAAGAAGTCTGGGAAGTAGACTGGACCTGGCCAAACTTCTCCAAGGTAATTGCTGCTGTTTCTCTTTAGAAAGATGTCTGCTTTCATTCCTCTTGTGAATGTCGCATAGCTTTTGTTAACATTGATACCTGTGAACGACCAATTTATCAGTTGCTAGCATATGTGGAATGTAAATATGATGCATTGTGCATGTATCACATATATCTCAAATATAAATATATGGAGTTTGACATCCTGAAACTGTTTATCTAATTATCTGGGTCTATTGTAATTATAAAATTTGATTAAAGCATACATGATTTTTTTTGTTTGTAGATCTCTGATATCATGTAGATCAGTTTGAACAGGCCAGACCATCAATTCTATAGCATATTATGCAGTTTAACAGACGGAGAATACATCATATATTAACTTTTGATTTTTATTGTTGGGAATTTAACGCCGAAATCCCTACGATTTGTTCATTCTCTTGATAACAAGAGGAAGAATTGAAATAGAAATACAAGCAGAGGAAGAAAAGGTAGAATAAAAGTGAAGTCTTCATCATGCTCATTAGCCTTTGAGCTTTGCCCATATTATTTTCCCTCCATTTATAACTGTTCCTTGTTTTTGGAGGAAGTCCCGTTCATGAATGGGTCTCTCTCAATCCCCCAACCCCACCCACACGACAAATCCCATAAATTACACTGAGCCCCCAAGAACTTTCTACATTTTGCAGTAAACCCCACTAACTTTTCAAAATCCCGAATAACTTTTACAGAAGATCCCCACTATCTTTTGGGTAAATTACACTAAACTCCAAAGAACTTTTCAGAATGACTTCTTATGTTGTTATTCGATTCTAATTTGCGGGGGTTTTCTGCAAAATGCAAAAACTTATTGGAGATTTTCTGCAATTCTAAAAAGTTATTTGGGCTTTAGTATGATTTTCAACGTTATTGGGGGTTTACTGCAAAGCGCTGAAAGTTCCTGACCAATTATTTGATGTCTCTGAGTAGTAATTCTTTTTCTTATAGATCAGGCCGAAATTAAAAGAATTAGGATCCTTTTCGCTTATTATTTGTTAGTAGAGAGTTCATTATTCGACGATTATAAATTTATAACTGACCCATAAATAATAGTTACTGTTTATCTACAGAAGACTCATAATCCTTATTCTCAGTACAAATAATTTTGAGGGACAAAAAATTCTTTGGCAAGCAAAAGGCTCATGGATCTTTCCGTCTCAACAAACAAGAGTGGGACCTTTCCATATGCACGCTCGCTGGTCCTATGAACACAAAATGGTACTGCGCATGCCATTTTCTTCTTTTTTTCTTTCTTTCTTTGTTTCTAGTCAAAGGTGCCCAATTTCTCTTTTCACTGTTTTTCTTTGGGCATGAATTGCTCGTTATGCATGCTTGTATTTATTCAATTATTTTGGAGCATGACCACACTACAAGACCAACCCCAATATAGTGACATGCTCATGCCAAAGGTACATATAAAGTATGGAGAATGACAACCACTGGTATTGAAACATTTGAAATGGACACAATTACGCATGTAGGCATAACTAGGGGTGGAAACGACCACATAGTTAACAAATAGATTATTAATAGATTATTAATTATTTGACTAACTATTCAATCATATTCCATTCGATAGTTCATTTAACACTAAACAATATTTACTAATCAAGTTCATTAATGAATAAAATTTAACCAGGTATATATTCAATTCCTTTTTTATCAAATATTCAACCCACTTATATTTTGTATTATTATGCAAATAATAATATTATTATGCATATGATGTTATATCTTCAACCCACTTATATTTTGTATTTAAGCTCTATGTACTGATTTTGAGAGCCTTAAAGAATCTTAAATTAGTTTTCTAATAAAATTTTCGAATTAAATATAAGTTTATAGGAGCTTTACTCATATACATTGAGTAAAGCTCCTATAAACTTAAGTGGATAAGAGCATCTCCAACAGCTTCCCCATTTTATTGGTATTCTCATTTTTGAAGAATTTTGAGCTTTTTTTTGTCCAACAGATTCCCCATCCCATTCCCCAAAATAGGGATGGAGGAGAAAAAAGGGGAGTCTTCCCCAAATCTGGGGCATTCTTCAAATATTTGGGGAAAGATTTGTCATGAATGCAACACGTTCTTCAAAACAAGATGGAGGAGAAAATAAATATAAAACAAAATCCATAATTACAAAAAAACCATGAGGGCAATTCTGATGCATAAGAGCATCCAAAAATAGGGATGTAGAATATTTTTATTATTGTAATAAATGCAGGATTATTCAAAATGGGGAAGCTGTTGGAGTTGGAACAAAAATAATTTAGAGAATATGGCTTTTGCTTCCCCATTTTGGAGAAATTTTTGGGAAAACTGTTGGAGATGCTCTAAGAACCCTTTGTCCATCAACATTTTAATCCATGGATTTTGCATTGAGATTTGTGCTAGCATGTGATACAAATGAAGTCACAAATCTCAAGGATAGCATTAATGTGTAGCACAAATCTCAAAGTATAATGAATGGATAAAAAGTTCAGTGGACAAGTGCTCATATCCACTTAAGTTTGTAGGAGCTTTACTCGTATACATTATGAGTAAAGCTCCTATAAACTTAAGGGGTTGTTTGGCTCAATTTCTATAAAAAAGAGGAAAAAGAAAATTACTCAAAATTTGATTTCCTTGTATTTCTATAAAATTTGTAGGAAAATTTTATAGAACTCAAAAAGTATCATATTTCTTATTTTTTGTTATTTCTTTGTTTGGTTCAAAGTATGAAAAAGTTTCTAACTTTATAGAAAATATGTTGTTTTTGAAAGTACCCTAGAGGGGGGTGAATAGGGTTATTGCTAATCTAATCCGATTTAATGCCAATTAAAAACTTTACTAACAAATATATCCTAGCAAAAGAGATATGAACAATATATGTGCAAGGATATACAAATGACACAAGGGTAAACAATTTAAATTAGATAGTGGGCAATATAAACAACAAGCAATATACAAAGGCGATACAAAATATAAACATAAAAATAAGTGCGCCAATGCAATCACAAACAAACAATATGATTACGGAGTTCGGTCTCCACGACCTACGTCTCCGCTCCTCACTTCGAGGAGATCTCCACTATCACGACACACCCGGTTTGGAAGCCGGAACTTCTCTACACACTCGGTTTTCAGGAGATCTCCACTATCACGACACACCCGGTTTGGAAGCCGGAACTTCTCTACACACTCGGTTTTCTAGCTTACCGAAAACTCTCACAACAACTCACAATGTACATACACAAGCTACAACCTCAAGTGTTGGTCCTCACGTATCGCCTCCCTCAAGTGCTCGGAATTATCACCTCTCACTAGGCCACCGACGCCACTCCTCTCGGTATCGACTACGTCCTCACCACACACTCCTCTTGGTGTATAAGTGTATTACAAGTGATTCTCACGATAAGCACAAATACAATAATGGTTGTTGGGCGACTTCGACCCCCGCGTTTGGCCTCCGACCCTCGCGTCGGGCTTATCCGCTGGCGACAGGCTGTCGCCAGCCCTCCAATCCTCCTATATAAACCCCTTTGTGCCCTAGGGTTCGGTTTGCTTCCTCTCCCCCGATTTCTCTCTGGCGGCGATCGAAAACGTAGACGCGTTTTTTCTCAACCTCTTTCGGCCCCCCCTCCTTTTAAATCACAGCAGTGATTTTATTTCATCTCCAGCTCTCATGTTCCTTTGAGGGGAGATTAAGAAAAGTTTAAGAAAGAGAGAGAGAGAGAAATTAATTAGGGTTTTTATTCCCTTTGAAAGGGGTTTATTCCCTTTAATTATTAACACTGTAGCTACAATGTTCATTTGAGAAATCTCAGTTTTGGGATTTGCTCTTGATTTGTAATTTCTTGTTTGATTAATAAGAAATTATCTGTGTGGCTCCTGAGGACGTAAGCAGTTGCCGAACCTCGTAAATCTTGGTGTACTTTTTTCTATTCTACGTTTCTGTTGCATTAGGGATTTAGGCGTTAAATTCCCAACAACTGGTATCAGAGCGCGAAACGATCTAGAGGAAGTCAGATTCAAGTGGGAGCCATGGCCGCAGATGAAGGGAAAATAAGACTTGAGAAGTTTGATGGAACAGATTTCGGATTTTGGAAAATGCAGATAGAGGATTATCTGTATCAGAAAAATTTGTATCAACCACTATCGGGGAAGAAGCCGGATTCCATGAAGGAAGAAGAGTGGAACCTTCTAGATAGACAAGCCCTCAGAGTTATCAGATTGACGTTGACTCGCAATGTTGCGTTCAACATAGCGAAGGAGAAGACCATGGCAGGTCTTATGGCAGCACTCTCAAACATGTATGAGAAACCATCAGCCGCGAACAAAGTTTATTTGATGCGGCGGTTATTCAATCTGAAAATGGCGGAAGGCGCGTCAGTAGCACAACACCTCAATGAACTTAATACGGTTACAACCCAATTGAGTTCAGTTGAGATTGAGTTTGATGATGAAGTTCGGGCATTGATACTTTTGTCTTCCCTACCAGAGAGTTGGAACGCTACAGTCACAGCTGTGAGTAGCTCGTCGGGAAAGAAAAAGTTGAAGTTCGGCGACGTTCGTGATTTGGTTCTCAGCGAGGAGTCTCAGTGAGGAGATCCGACGGAGAGAGACGGGTGAAGCTACAACCTCTTCAGTATTGCATACAGAGTCAAGAGGTAGAAATTCAACCAGAGGAAACGGACGAGGAAAATCAAACTACAGAGGTAGATCAAAGGACAGGAGGTCCAAATCAAGGAATCCAAGCAACAGCTCGAAGGCTATCGAATGTTGGAATTGTGGAAAGACCGGACATTACAAGAATCAGTGCAAGAGTGCACAGAAGGAGAAGGAAGCGAAGGCAGAGGTGAATGTCACTTCCACCTCAGGAGGAGACGACGCATTGATATGCTCTTTGGAGAGCAAGGAGGAATCTTGGGTGTTAGATTCAGGAGCGTCGTTCCATGCTACCTCTCAGAAAGAATTCTTCGAGAAGTATACTCCCGGAAATCTTGGATACGTATATCTTGGTGATGATCAACCATGTGCTATTGTGGGCAAAGGCGTGGTGAAAATTAAGTTGAACGGGTCAGTATGGGAGCTGAAGGATGTCAGGCATATTCCCGACCTGAGAAAGAATTTAATATCCGTAGGCCAGTTGGCTGGCGAAGGATACACCATGACCTTCCATGGAGATGATTGGAAGATCTCAAAGGGCGTAATGACGATTGCCCGAGGCAAGAAGACTGGTACCTTATATATGACAGCAGGTGTACGTTGTTTGATCTCAGTTGCAGCAGGCAATGAAACTTTAAAGCTGTGGCACCAGAGACTCGGTCATATGAGTAAGAAGGGGATGAAAATCATGCACACAAAAGGAAAACTCCCGGGACTGCAGTCAGTGGAGATGGATATGTGTGAAGAATGTATACTTGGAAAGCAGAAGAGAGTCAGCTTTCAGACAAGTGGCAGAA